TGTTGCCGTGGAGGCTTCAGTAGGTGAAGCAGCTAGATATCGCATATATAGGACGGCAGAGGATCAATTGGTCCACAATCGATCTGGTCAATGGGCCGGTATTTGGGCTACTGAAGCGCCGAAGAGTGAAGGCTGAAGGATGGCAGAGGTTTTTTGTACGACCTGTATCGGGCCCACGTTTTGTTTTGTTTTCTGTTGAAACGCACTTGGCTGCAGACGGCCGATGATGAAGCTGAGTTATCACTTGGGATTAGAGAAAGCATTCAACTTGGCCGGACTTTATGTGAGTGTGCATGCAATGTGCCGTGCAGCTGGGTGATGCCAAGTCGGAATGTGTGAATAGCAGGGGTATAAAACAAGCTTGATGAATGATCAACATATGATGGGATGACAGCGGAACAGATTCCTCATTTTCCCAAGTTTGTTGGTAGTGTTTTCTGAGTTTGGAACAGAACAGGGTGATGAAAAGGGTGATGGGATGAGGGAGGTCTATGAAACCCCTGGTGTTAAACATGTGGAGGAGAGGATCGACATGATCCTTGCTTGTCCCCCAGACTTGAATCGTGCAACCTCAGAACTGCTGAGAGTTAAGGAGTTGACTTCTGCGTTATTGATCTGGTAGAAGAAGGTTGTTGAGTAAATAGCATTGTATACTATAGATGCAGTTCTTACTGGGCCCTGAATAGCGAACTCACGATTTAAACTATACCGATCAACTCACTAGGTTCCCCGAGCGATTTGCGGCTGAAGCTTACCCCTGAGGGTTGTGAATCCACGAAGGATGAGCACGTCCATATATGATAGACAATCTTGAATAAGGGATCGAAAGGATGGGAGGGGTTGAGCTCAAGAGTCGCACCATGATTAATAGACTGTCACTGCAGTCACTGCAGTCACTGCAGTCACTGTCATGAGTTTGGATGGACATGGATAACCCCTGCATTTGTTTCTCTGAGCCAACTTGGGAATTGCTTTTGTTTCCCGTCAGCGTTTGGAAGGATTCAAGTTTGAAACGACGCCGTTCAGTATGATGAAGGACTAGCAGAATGTTTATGCTTTAAGGTTAACGGGAACCGTGAGCATAATATTTAGCCAAAGAATACAAGATGGTAATGAATGGTCAGGATTGTAGGGAGTAGGGAGCATCCTTTTGTCTGCAGTCATTGGTAAGGTATCCGAGGTTACATCCACAACGGAAACGCCCGTTTATCTGGGCGCTTCCTAGACGCAGGTACCGAAACTTAGCTTAAACCTCCATCCAATCCTATCCAGCTTCTACCATTCAACCTTACTTGCACTCATCAAAGCACCCACAGACCTAGACCCAGGCCTCTCTCACTACGTTTCACCTTGAATATCTTGGCACCCGGTGATTGACTCCCAGATGATGCGCCACAGGGATCACGACCATGGTCTTGACCACTATGTTTGGTGGCCCGTTTGATTACGCCTGGAAACATGCAGAGAGCCTAAACATGGGTAGGTATCCAGCATTATCCGTCCCCAGCTCCAGTAGCTATCCCGCTGGGGAAATGGAAAGGGTCAGGCCGGGGGGAACGCCACCGTTTGAGGTGCTGGCGCTGCTTGTCGCCTACGCACCGAATAACTGCACAGTTGGGCATTTTTGGTGTAACTCGTCGAGCTTGGCCATCACCATAATCCTTGTATAGAACCGGGTCTGGAGGATCTGATCTGCAGGCTGATCCGAGCTGAGGTTGAGATGCCTGCCATGTTCATCCCTGATCGTGAGCTGAGGAGTTGTAGTATATATGAGGCATGGCCACAAGTTCGTGATGCTTTCTCTCCCCTCTCTTCACCTTTATTCTTCCTCTTCACGGTGTTTTTTTCGAGTTGTACTGCGACTCTTTCTCTTCTTTTCACTTATTCACTCCTTCATTGATTGAAAGACATTCCTTACTGCTTCTTCAAGCATATTCGCTCCCTTTTCACGACATCAATCAACGACTTCAACCCTAGCGGTTTTATAGCAGAACTGGTTTTCTGCTCTCCCTCTTTTGTGTTTATCGAAACGATTTTCTTTTGAAATATCCAACATGAAGCTTCTTGCTGCTGTTCTCGGCCTCGCTACCGCTGCGAACGCGCACACCCTTTTCACTACTCTCTTCATTGATGGCGAGAACCAAGGCGACGGTACCTGTGTTCGTCAGCCTAAGGATGCCTCCAAGGCCAACAGCCCCATCTACCCCATCACTGGAGGTGTCATGGCTTGTGGTAAGTACATCTTATGAGTAAGCTTGACTCAAGACAGTTGCTAATGTGGAAATCAGGTGAAAATGGTGACAAGCCAGTCAAGTTCACCTGCCCGGCTCCCGGCGGCGCTCAACTGACCTTCCAATTCCGTGAATCCCCCAGCTACTCCAAGCCTGGTGCCATTGCCGAAGGCCACAAGGGCCCCTGCTCCGTCTACATGAAGAAGGTTGACGATATGAACTCGGACTCTGCTGCTGGTGACGGTTGGTTCAAGGTCTGGGAAGATGGCTACAACGTCAAGGAGGACAAGTGGTGTACCGACACTCTCCGATCCAACGGTGGTCTTCTTTCTGTTGATCTTCCTACTGGTCTCCCTGCTGGCTACTACCTCGTCCGTCCTGAGGTCCTTGCCCTTCACAACGCTCCCTCAGGTGACCCTCAGTTCTACCACAGCTGTGCCCAGATCTTCATCGAGAACGGTCCTGAGGGTCCTCTTGAGATCCCTGAGAAGTACGAAGTCAGCATTCCCGGCTACGTCGACAAGAAGGATCCTGGTGTCACCTACAACATCTACAGCGACAAGGGCGAATATCCTATTCCCGGCCCTGAGGTTTGGAACCCCACCTCCAAGGAGACTGGCACCAAGCAGACTCAGAAGGATGGTCTTGTCCCCAAGGACTGCCTTGCCAAGAACGCCAACTGGTGTGGCAAGCCTATTGCGAAGTACTCTGGGCAAGATAACTGCTGGGCTGCGGCCAAGAAGTGCTGGGATGTTGTTGGCGACTGCTGGGACAACGCTCCCCCTACTGGTGGTAAGGGCTGTGATACCTGGAATGACTACTGCAAGGAGATCAACGCTGCCTGCAAAGCCAAGGATTTTGAAGGCCCTCCCAACTTCACTGGCAAGGAGTACTTTGCCGAGGCCCCTGGCCCTATTCCTGCTCCCTATGGCGACTTCGAGGGTAGCGATCTAGCTACTGACGGCAAGAACTCCAACTCCAACGACAAGCCTGCCAGCAAAGAGACCTACGCTGCTCCATCAAAGACATCTCAGGCTGCCGCCGCTACGACTGAGGCGTCGAAGCCAGCTGAGAATACGGAGGCTGCCAAAGAGACAGCGACCCGCAAGTGGGACAAGTATGAGAAGAACACAAAGTACAAGGACACTCCTGTTATCAAGTACCCCATGCCAGTCCAGACAAGCGAGCCTACCCAAGAGGGAAGCTCTGGACTCAAAGTTTCCGAGGATGGCCGCTGCGGTGGTGAGACTGGACAGACTTGTGAGGGAAGCAAGTTTGGTGACTGCTGCTCTCGCGGAGGCAAATGTGGTCGCAAGGCCAAGCAGTGTGAGTGTGGTTGCCAGAATGCATTTGGCATTTGCAAAAAGTAAACAACAAGTTATGACGGGGATTGTGGTTTGAGAGATTCTTCACTTCTTTTTATGTACTTTTTGGATGGATGGATGATTGAACAGTTGAAAGTTCGCCTGACTTAGTTGGCCATGCTCGACGAGGTCTTTTTGGAAGCATCTACTAGAAATCAATTGAATTACTCTTATGATGCACTGTATTGACTGAGTTGGTGATTGATACAGTGAGAGCGTAAGCCGAGTAGCATAGTGAAACATAACGAGCCTCAACTTTCTAGATCGCATGAACCTGATTATTGAGTTTGACCCTCCAACTTGATTTCTCTAGTGTCGTCCAAGTTGTGTTGATGTGGCAAAACTGGACGCAACGAGCGTGGCTGACTTCTTGATAAAGTGTGTCTCGTGATGATGTCTCTCAAGATGACGTCGTGAACCAGGGGTAAATGGCCCCTAGATTTGTAGGGGACAAAGCCGTTGTGGAACCCGAGTTTGCAGAAAAGTCAACGTTGAGTAGGTACCTATGAAAAGATAGACGCCACAATCTTTTTATTTTTCAGGGGTAGACACTGTTTGAGTGTTAAACACAGTTACAGATGTTGAAAGACTTTTCTCTATGCGAGCGGCGAGGTAGCCGTCTGTGTTACTCGGGATGCATATTGTACTGTATGAGGATATCTGGATATATAATTGAAACCATCTGCGGATGGATGCATTACACAGTTTATGCGCTGGGGATGTATTCGTATTTTCTGTTGATCAGGAGGACATTCGCTTGCCTGTTTCAAGTTTGAGTACCTCGGTAGCCAGGTAGGTAAGATGAGATAGGTACTAAGGCAGACGAATAACGAGAAAACACAATGGAAATGACCTTGAGAGAATTCCAAATCACTACCGACCTCACTTACAAAAGTACAGCCTGACACGTAGGCTCTTTTAAAAGTTGTCCGCCGCTGAAACACCTCCCTCCACTGCCAACTGGAGTCGGGTCCTTAGGCGCTGCGACAGCCTAAAGCCAAGTAGGTAGTCTAGAGCCGTGGAGGCAGAAGCCCCTGTAAACACGTAGTGTGAGTTAGTTCGTCACTGCCTAAGCCTGTGCCGTAGAGGTCTTGAACCCATTATCATTCGCCTGCCGTTCTAGGTACATTACAGTACGGATACAGGCAAACGGATTAGTCCCGCGGTTCAAAGGCCAATCCGATTCCCTCCTCCACTTTCACTTTCACTCCCAGTCCCCGTTTCCATTTCCAACTCCATCTCCATCTCCATCTTCAACCCTCGACGACCATCAGAACTCAATCACCCACGCTCTAGCCTAGCCTTGCCTTTTCGCCTCCCTCCGCATCCTCGACCACCGAATTCTCGTCGCCATCGTCGCTTCACTACACGGTAGCTTCTTCTGCTACTCTCACTCTTGGCCAACATGTCGAGTAATCGCAACTATGATTTCCTGGTACGATATCCAAATCCAATCTACTACTACCGTTCCTCACCCCCACCGCCCGCCAATCCGCCCCCTGCGTCCCTTGGATTCACGTCGTCTCGAGCCAAAACCCCACGAACATGAATATACCAAATCGCATCGCGCTGTGGTCGCTATTATTCACTGCTTGCGACCGCCTCGTGATAACTCTTGCTGACCCTCCTCGTCATGTAGATTAAGCTGCTCCTGATAGGCGACTCCGGCGTCGGCAAGTCGTGCTGTCTGCTGCGATTCAGCGAGGACTCCTTCACCCCTTCATTCATCACCACTATCGGTATCGACTTCAAGATCAGGACTATCGAGCTCGATGGAAAGCGCGTCAAGCTGCAGATCTGGGATACCGCCGGTCAGGAGCGTTTCCGCACCATCACCACCGCCTATTATCGTGGTGCCATGGGAATCCTCCTTGTCTACGACGTCACCGACGAGCGCTCATTCAACAGTACGTCTTACTACTCTTCACGACACGGCTCGATATGCACATTTCATGATATGTTGTTGTGTTGCCCCTCTCCTACCCGACAGCCAAATAGTCTCCCAGCGCCCTTGACCCAACAAAGCAATGTGCTATCGAGCCACATATACCAACATCAACTAACCAATTCTCTTATAGACATCCGAACTTGGTTCCAAAACGTCGAGCAACATGCCACAGAGGGTGTCAACAAGATTCTAATTGGCAACAAGTGCGACTGGGAGGAGAAGCGAGTTGTTTCCACCGAGCAAGGCCAGGCTCTCGCCGATGAGCTGGGCATTCCCTTCCTCGAGGTCTCTGCCAAGAGCAACATCAATATCGACAAGGCCTTCTACAGCCTAGCCGCAGACATCAAGAAGCGACTTATCGACAACTCCAAGAACGACCAACCCTCAGCGAGCGGTGTCAACGTCGGCGATAAGAGCGAAGGCGGCGGCAGCAAGTGCTGCTAAACCGAATACCCTGACGAGTCCGTTTATCTGTCATTCTCCGTTTGCCGTCGTTTTTATTTTTATTTTTTTCAAGCTTATTACTTTGTAAACTCGAGGGAGGTGAACACGCTGTGTACGGGTCAGCGTGAGATGAGAGAGTTGGAGAGTTCACCATTGAGAGAATGGGAAGAGAACCTGTGCTCTTCTCTTCGGACATGAGGGATGGATGGATGGATGGATGAAAGGAAACGAAGGAAAGAAGGAGAGGAACCGAAAGAGAAGAATGGATGGCTGTTAGTTTGAGCTGGGCGGCAAATCTCAGTCACGTTCAAAAGAATGAGTGACGACATTGCGAGAGGTTTTTGGTCATGTCTTGTTGTTCCCCCGATCGACCTTTCAACCCATCTTAGAGAGCAAATCCGGTCTGGAGTTTCGGTTTTTGATCTGGGTCTAATATACAGTGCTTTCGTTATGTGCATGAGTGGTCGTTGTTGAGGTATTTGATTGCTTTGCTTGCGATCAAATGCCAGGTCAAAAGGAGCTAAAGGCTTCTTTGTGAAAGTGTCATGTCTTATTTTCAGAAATATCAGAGATTCGATGGGCTGTGAAGCGAGCGTCTTTGATCCTTTCAATCTTTTTGTCACAATATAATAATACAATCGCTAAGTCTCAATGTATGATGCTTTTACACGGTTACGTTGGATAACCTCGTCTCCTCCGTCGTATTCAAGAATGCGCTGATTCCAATTACGAATGAATCGCCATGCAACTTCAGGATTTGCGCAGGTAAGGACAAAACGTGAATCGAGCTTGTGTCGAAACTCCGGGCTGCTTCGATACAAAGGTACTCGGCGGGTGTCTGTGGGAAACCCCTTCTCAAAGTCCATAGTCTCCCTGAGACTGAACACATCTATCTGCCAATCGTGCCCACTTTCTATACCATCCTGCTTTATGATCGCCTTGAGCTCCGACGCCGAGAAACTCTCTTGCGGTAGCTCAAGCAGCACATGACTAGGATTTCGTTTATGGGACGACTTTTTAACGATTCGATCCATGACTTGCTGCCATGCCATCTTTCTGACCCGTTTGGTCTTGATTTTAGGGGCGGATGGGTATGAGCCCGGGAGGAGTGTGAAGCGCTCGACCTCAACTTCGGGTTTGGTTTTTTTATTGATGAGAACCGGGTTCACGTTGGTGGCCCAGAGACCTGTGCCGTCTCTCATCTTTGCTTGGGCGAGGCGGAGGATACGTTCGACTCTGTCGCGGTAGATCTCGGCGGCGCCGCTGGAGGGGAAGGTTATGGAGTATGTGCCTAGTGGTTCCATCGTCCAGGGATCGCGTTCTTGGTGGACTGGTATCTTCGTGAGTTCAATGCTTTATGGTGGTATGCAGGATTTGAAGTACCATGAGTGATGCCGTTTTCCCAGCCAGCGAGGGTACCTGGCGCAAGACGATGGAAGTCAGCAGCGACAAGCGACGTTGGCAGACCCTCGATGACGAGCATTTGTCGGGAACCAGGGTCCTCAGCCATTGCACCCTTCAATGGAGTGCGAGTTACTGGCTTTGGCTTCAAGATCCCACCAGGACTGGCTCTGGCCAGAGACGAGTTGAGCTTCTCCTTCAGATCTCCCCAGCTCTCATCGGTTTCGGCGAAGCGGGGGAATCTGGAGCTTGGAGAGGAAAGACATCTTTTCTGGGCAGCGAAGATGGCCCTGGTATGGGGAAGCCATTTTTGGCGGATCATCCGGGCGGTGGACTGTGAGGAAACATGGGATTTGAGGTTGGTGGAAGTGCAAGAGGAAGTTTGAGGGCATCTTGGAGCAGAGTAGCAATAGAGTCAAGGTGTTTTGCGGGACTCGGCCGAGTTCCGGCCTGATTTGGTTTAGCGGGGTTCATTCTCATGAGAGAGACTGAAAAAAAAGGATGTTTGAGCCAGACTCATGATGATAGGATCTCTGACCCTAAAAGTATGGAGAGGTATGAGTGGAAGAGGGATAATATCGTCTTTGACGATATGGAATCACAAAGATCAATAATAATAATACTCTTCCTTCCTTTTTCTCAAATCATTTACACCTACTCCGAGCCAAGGCGCCACATGAGTTTCTCAACCACTCACCGACTGACGTGAAATATATTGACGAAAGCAGAAGAAAAATATGTTATCAATGGCTTGCATATTTGAGACTCAGGGGCCCAAGTGAGCATCGGTATTCTGACTGAGAGTTATGATGGCTCTTTCCACCCCACTTTGCTGTGTATATAATAAGGTTGTGGATGCTGGCTGAGTAGGTCAATACAGTGATTTATCAAACAAAACTGGTACTAAACTGGCCTTGAGGCTGAAGCCTCTTTTGACCCTTCAAACCCTATCACAGAGATGGATTTTAATGAGTCACATTGATTTATGTCATTCAGAGTGGAGAAATGCATCTATCTGCTCCTACTCTATAAATTGGGCCCTTCAACTTGGGTAGTAGGAAAGAGCCTTCAGTCGCACTTGCAGGTTTGTGAGTGGGAGTGGAGAGTATCTATTTTCTTGCGCACTAACACAGCATTAGCAGCCCAAGTAACATCCTTCCTTCATCAACCACATTCAGAGGCAGTGCCTTACTTTTAGGGCGGCTACTTCATTTCTATTCTAAACTCATCCAAATCATCTCAACTCATCACATCGCATCACACCCGTCTTCTCTTCCATCTTCCTTTGTCATGCTTGCGAAGAGTGTCGATGCAAGGGTCAGGCCTTTGGCCAATACAAGCCTCGAAAAGTCAAGTCTTCTCGGTGCCGCTCGAATCTATGTCAGCAAAGATACTCTTCTCTCCTTAAATGGAAATCTAGAAAGCGGAAAACACTGCGTTGTCACGCGCTTAGAATCTGCCGCCAACAAGGAAGATGCTCCCCAAGAAGACCTGCAACGAGAAGCCTCGCTATGGATCCTACCAGAGAAGAACCTCAGCCCGAATGTCGTTATGATGACTAGGGCATTCCAAGAAGCTACAGGTTTCAAAATCGGTGACACTGTTCGCATCACGATTGCAGGCACAACACCAGAGGCAGAGGAAGTCGTTGTGCAAGAAGTCACTGAAGTGACAGACAAGACAGCTGCCGAGTTCGAAAAGATGGAGAGATTAGAGAAAGACGTAAAGTATCCTTTTTCTTGGGAAAATTCACTTGCATTTGCCTTTGGTAAGCTTGGAATTCGTTAAACAATTCACTACCCAGCATGCTAACTCTCATTTCCCCAAGATCGTGCTGATCTCATCTTCCCTGGTATGGTTGTGGAAGCGGCGCACACTTGCAAGGCTCGCAGAAACTTCAAGGTCATTTCTGTTAACTCGAAGACCAATAGCGTTGCCAAGTTCAGCCTTTACACGGCAACCATAATCATCGCTGATGCCAATTCAACAAGCACAGACTCAAATGCCCAGGACCGTGGCGATTTTGTCGTAACTGGTGTCCCTGGAATGACAAAGCAGATCAACACGCTGAATGAATTCCTACTCCTCATCACTCACCCATGTAATGTGGAAGGGGATAAGATGTCGGCTGCTTTTGTTATCCACGGCGGCTCCGGTACTGGCAAGACCTTCATTTTGAAACGCATCGCCGCAACGAAATGGGGCAGAGTGCATTGGATCAAGCCCTCGGACAAGATCGCGAGTATCAGGGAATCCTTCAAGGTTGCACAGAGCCAGCAACCGAGCATCGTTCTGATGGATAATTTCGAGTCTCTAATTAGCAAAGATCGCTCAAATCGCGACACTGTCATCGAAACAATAGGCGAAGAACTGGATGCTTTGGCCGAAATCTCACAGTCGAAGAACGCTTACACTCAAGTCGTGGTAATCGCGACTTGCTCCGATTTCTATACTGATATCCCCGAGGAACTGCGATCGTCTACTCGCTTTCTGAATCACACTCCTCTGCCTATTCCTAGAACCCATGAGCGTCAAGAGATACTGGAGTCCTTTAAGCCACCGATTAAAGGCAACAGACAAGCACTTCTCTTGGAATTGGCACAAATGACACACGCATACAGCCCTAAGGACCTCGACATCTTGATCACAACCGCCGTCCGTGGCCGTAAAACCCAGCTTCTCAAGGCAGGAGTCGATCCTGGCGAGGAGAATTTCTTGGAAAAGTCTGATCTAGAACGAGCGAGAAAGGCAGTTCGTCCCACAGCTATGCGTGACATCAATCTCAACCCTCCTACTATTCATTGGCAGGATGTTGGTGGTCAGGATGTACTCAAAAAGGCACTCAATCGAATGATCAAGTATACAAAGGTGCGCTATGAGAGTTCACTATCGAAGTATTCTAACAATATACTGACCATAATGCGTCTAGAACCCAGAACACTCTCTTCGGCCTCCTCCCAAAGGTCTTTTGCTCTACGGGCCTCCGGGTTGCTCGAAAACTCTCTCAGCCCAAGCCGCCGCAACAGAGTCAGGCTTCAATTTCTTTGCCGTCAAAGGTGCCGAGCTTCTTAACATGTACGTCGGCGAGTCTGAGCGGGCTGTGCGTACTCTTTTTGAACGGGCTCGCAATGCCTCTCCATCAATCATCTTTTTCGACGAGATCGACTCTATCGGTGGGCAACGTTCAGGCAGCGGCTCCGCTACCCGCAGCACAGGCTCTGTCAACATGCTCACGACCCTTCTCACTGAGATGGACGGTTTCGAGGCTCTCTCAGGGGTGCTAATCCTCGCAGCTACCAACCGACCTGAGGCCATGGACCCAGCATTAATGCGGCCCGGCCGATTTGACCAAGTCTTGTACGTTGGCCCTCCTGACGGAGCCGCACGAGAAGCTATCTTCAACGTGCATCTCCGTGGCCTACCCCTTGCATCAGACGTCGATATTGCAGACCTATCTCGACTCGCTGAAGGGTATTCCGGAGCCGAGATCAAGTCCATCTGTGACCAGACCTGCATGCTTGTCCAGGAGCGTTATGACGATGACAGAACGGCCAACAAGCTCGAAATGACCATGGCCGACTTGACAACTATTCTTGAGAAAACACCACGGAACATCACAAAACAGATGATTGATGGGTATGAAAAGTGGTCCAGGCAGTTCAAAAAGGTGTAAAAGTTTAGATGAAATTTACAAAGATCATCCTAAGAATAAACTAAACTTAGGTCGATTTAGATGCTATAATAAAAGTTCATCAAAGTTCATCAAACTTTAGAGATGGATATTACCATGAAACGTAGATCAAGTGATAAGAACTGGGCAAAGATGACGAATATTTGTTCTTTATCTAGGCGGGTCTTTTTCATTTCTTCGTTACGAATGGCCTGGGATCAGTACCAACAATCGTTCCTGAACCCGGCTCAGCTCCTTGCTCGTCTCACAAGGGCCATTAAAGCCATAAAATTTATGATACAGCTCGGCAACTCAATGAACCACCCCTATGCGCTATGGCTACTGCTCAGCTAGCAGGCCGCTTTCAAAATCTCCCCCTTTTTACAATCCTGCCAATCTCAACTTGCAAGCCCTGATTTCCTTCACGCGCCAGCCTGCGTGCCTTGCCGTCGCTTCTCGACGACTCTATCGCCCAAATAAGGGGGCAGAATCTCGGTCCAGATAAAGCCCCATTAGACCAGACCAAGCAATGCAAACAGCCTGGACACGCCTAGTCAAAGGGTGCCTAGGTGCAGCAGAGCATGTGATACTAAGAATATAGTGACGGATGCCACAAGGATATTTCAAACATCAACGCCGGTTCTCACCACCTGACCGTTCCATAAACCAGCAAGCCATACTTGCTAAACGTGCTTGTGCAGGAGTGAGACCGTCTGCACCCCCCTTTCATGATAAACCAAAAACAGACCAATAACCGGTACGCCATCGCCGAAAAAAGTGAGGAGATTTTATGACTCCTCATTGGAACCTGGGTCGCTGCCTGTTTTTAAGCCGCTAGAGAGGCTGATGGCGATCTTCTTGCCTCCAGTGGGAGAGTTGACGTTGAAGCTTTTGCGTCTTTGTGGGCCGCGAGAGTTGCCTAGGATCGCCGTGACAGAACCGCTGCTGCTGCGTCTCTTATTTTGCATCATTTTGCTCATCTCATCCTCGTCTTCCTCCTCTTCGCGTCGACGCTTCTCTGAAAGTCGCTCAGGTGGTGGAATACCTCCTCCAAGGCTCGAATCAATAGGCGAGTGCACAGCGTCAGATGCAACATCGCTGTGTTGGCTATCCGCTTCTGGTGTAGCTTCAGGGTCGGCGTTTTCGTCAGTCTCTTCATCGGATGCGTAGTCGACCAGTAGCTTCGAGGTGATTGAGCCATTCGTGGATGGTGTCCTTTCCCCCTCTTTACTTGACTGGTCGTCATCATCTTCGGGATCAGATGTTGCCCAATATTCCTCTTGCTCTTGCTCAACGGTGATTTGCTCGGCCATCCTTGTGTTCGCTAGAGGTCTCCTGCCCATCTCGTCTTCGGCTTCCAGGAAATAGTCGACATTGGATGTGTAACCCTGAGTTTGGTCATATCTAAGAAGGATCTCCCGAAAAGTCGACATATAGCTCAACCCTCTAAGCTTTTCTCTATAGTTGACCACGAGATGTTTGATCAGGTCTTTAATATTCTCTTTCTTGATAAACTCGAAAAATTCCAGTGATGCTGAGCACAAGAGGTTGTCTCGGGGCATGGTCTCGATAAGAACTTCAAGAATTGGCCCCAGGACCTGCTTCTCCATGAGATGCTTGATGTAGAACTCATCCTGCATTGCGATCAATGATCGGAAGAAACGGATAGCAACTACGGAGAGTTAGAAAATTCAAGCACGTTGGGTCAGTATTTCGCACCTAATCTCAAAAATTTCTCAGGGCATGCGAGAAGCTGAGCAATGCGTTTAACGATGTCGTGAGACATTACATGTAACTTGACGCGTAACTGGTGACAGCGGATAAAAAATGTCTGAATCTCAATAAGATACGTAAACATGGACGCCTGCTGTACTGTAAAGTTCATGTCCGTTCGCTTCTCCAAGTCCATGAGGGGCTTGAATAGCCTTGGGGCCGACTTCTCGTAGAATTTGATGAGGAAAGTCTCTTGCTGAGGGTCAATAATGATTTGAGGTCTCTGTCTTCCCATAAACTCACCATTAGCCTTAGCAAGGGCCTCGTTATTTTGCAGTTGTTGAGGACCAGGGTCTAATAAGACTCTGAGTGCTTCTGAGATTTGAGACTTGACGCCAAGATCAACTTCTACCAATAGAAGATCAATCAAAGAGTCGGTGAGGAGTGTCTGGTTCTCGTGCAGTTGACGGTACAGAGTCTGACGGATCATTTGGGGGTCGTGATCGATGATAGAGATCAGGATGTCAGTTGCCCCAACTCTAACTCCCACGTCATGATGTCTGAGCCCGAAGTGGATGACGGAAAGGAGTCCGTGAGCGATGAAGTTGTTGTATAATGTCTGACGCGCCGGGGGTTGGATATTCTTGGCAATAGCACAGCATTGCTGGATGAAGAGCACCGCTTCCTTCTTTCTCTTCTGGTCGCTGTTTGTGGGCCTGAAGATGCCAAACAACTCGTTAAGAAAAGCGGCATTCGCTTGCAGGTGCTGAACAATGTCGACTTGGTTGAAAAAGATGAGAGAATTGAGAACCGAAAAAGTAGGATCGTCGAGTATTCTAGCCAGAACGACATCCTTTAGATACTGTAGACGGTATGTTTGGTGGATCTTCCTGCGAATTTGCTCCTCCTCTATAGGGACAACTTCTTTATATCGACCTTGATTACCCAGCCAGTGTCGATGATTAGCCTTGTGACTAGGAAAGTCAGGGTCGTATTCCAGAGCACCAACAACACCTAAAACGCATTCGTCCGACACCGCGTGCTCTATAATCGAAGTGTCGTTAAGTAGAATGACTGTTTTCATGATGTTGCAGAGTCGGTGCAAGTCTTGAAGACTCTCGAGGTCCTCGGCCATCTCGACCAGGGGAACAATTTTGCCGATGAAGTCCTCGGCCATAATTGCTTTGGCAAGAGCATCACGGCCGTTTGCTGTCGTGCTCATCATCCGCATGGTCTGTTCAATATCTCCGAGATTTCCAAGTTCGGCCGTGGGCAAGTTGATAGCCGGCGGAGCGTCGATAGGGAGATCGTCGGAAAGACCGTCATCTAGGCATTGGTTATCAGTATCGTAGTCTCTAGGTGGTGAGCGGTCCTGCGTACCGGCTCCTGGCAGGTGGTTATGAAATGTCTGTTGAACATTGCTCACAAAACGCCTATTGGATGTCAGTACAGAAGTGACATATTACTGATTAACAGTACGAACCATATCATGGCGCATCCCTCGGCTTCTTGAAAACTGAGTGCCATGTCAACTCCACTACTAGGTTCCTGCCAAACAATCAGTGTATCTGTGAGTCAGGTTAGACACATGACGTCTTCAATGCGCATCTCGGACATGGTGACGTGCCTTGTTGCTTCTGGAATCCATCTTCTTTTTGGATTTTCGTTTCTAGCAGAAGACGGTCGGGATGATCTTCTGATTCAACGATGACGCGCGGTTCTTTGCGGCCATCCTCAAGCTGCAAGCACTACAGTCAGCAACTAATTCCGGGCGCAAAAGTGCATGTAAAAATGCAGGATTGGAAGGACATCAACAACATACAGTCTCAAAGCTCGCGCTGCAGAAGCCGGTGCCTCGATCGAACCAGTCATTGTTGCGGAGTTCGTAGACCTTGACGCGCTTCTTATCGGTGGGCTGATGAGGCACGGGCTGTGCCATCATCAAAGACTCGGGCTCTCCCTCGACAGTGAGGTTCGTGTACGCAACCAGATCCGGGGCAAGTTCGAGATGCTGTTGCAAGGACAGCTCCGATGGTTCGTTGGGACTCAGAATCGTAAGCGCCGCCACGATTCCTTACGGTGCGCGCAGACGGTGCGCGACAGTGGAACGTCAGGATATCCTGATTGTGCGAGATGCGCAGCCGGCGCCGCTATCAAGAAAAATGGTTCAATAAAAAAGCGAGCGACGGTCCTTCAATGCGCCATGCAATAGGAATCTATCGAGATGGGGCGCGGGCGAAAATCGGGCGGGTCGGTGTGCGTTGGACAACTACGGTAGGTTGGCGACACGCCACGGAAGCAATCGGCGGGAAGGAGGGAGCGACGACCGCGGGAAAAGGAAGGCGCGACAAGCGGAGGCGGAAAGCGACTTCGGCAACAGAAAGGCAGCCGTACAGAGCCGTGAACTCGGTATGCAGCAGGCGGGATCCGGGGCCAAGAAATTGATTTTGGGTCGGTTTTTGACGATAAGGGACCGATATATATCGAGGGACCGTTTGAGGCTGTCGAGAAATGCGGATTGAGGTGGGCAATGCGCGTGACCAGGCTGCCAGATGGTGTTGGGTTTAGGCCTTGGGATCCTCTTCGGGGGGGCGAGGGGAGGGGGCCTGCCTTACCTATGTCGTGTCAGCCACAGTGAGGCTGGTGGAAATGGAGCCTATCGTCCAATCAGATGCGGTATCAGGTGTTGCCACTTTGAAAAAATGACGCGGGACTGGAGAAGTGAAAAACGGAAACAAATGGTTCTCGTCCAATCAAAGCTTGTTTCTCCAGTTTCTTATCAATTGCGCGACCAGAGACAAAAAAGAAAAGGACCCCTGAACCTGTCAAGACATTGAAGGAGGCAATGATGCAACCACGAACTAAATATAACTTGTCGACAAAACATCATCAAAAAGAAATACGAATTGAGTGGCAATTGTTGCCAGGCAGTAAGATCAGGCCTCGTTTATTACCGGGACAATGGCTCTCAAGTTCGGCCCTTATGCAGATAAGGTAGTCTACATCGTTTGCAAGTGTCATCGTGCAGGCGGCCCATCGTCATATGTTGACAAGTCGATTGTTTGTTTATGCTGAGCGACGTTGATTCTTTGTTACAAGCGTGGTTTTCACGTGGAATTCGCGTAGAGGCAGCCATTGTAAATGCAGGTTACCGGGAGAATATGGAGTTTGGCCGGATATGCCCTTGATCCTCCATCAATCAACAAGTTGGACTACCGTTGGCTCAGCATTTGCGTGCTTGTGCTTGTATGGCAAAGGACGCTTCCACAAAATCACATGCTTCTTCCATC